CAGAGGGGCATTCCGCTCTACCCACATCTTTTAGGGGCATTTTGGCGTATATCTCAACTTATGGGGGTATATTGCAAATTATCCCTTAAATAAAAGAACAGACATAAAATTAAATTACAACTATCGGGTTTTAGAGCACAAAATGCTCTCCATGGTCTCCAACCCGTTTTTTCTTTTCCTTTCTTTCCCTATTTTTTTGCAACTTTACGGCACGAATGGCTGTTAATGTTCGTATGGCTGTATGACCCCCCCCCCGTACGACGTACCGGGGTAGTCACAGGACCCTACCCTAGAGTGTAAACCATGCCTGAGCAGAGCCCCTCATGTACCTGATAGACCCCCCAATCCTGGTTTTATATGTCTGCCCAGAGACTATCCCTCTATTATAGTTGTACGTATATGTGTGCGAAGAGACTATGTCTGTATGAGTTGTATGTATATGTGTGCCCAGAGACTATGTATGTATGAGCCTGCGTGCTCTGTATGTTCACAAGCCATGTTTTATGCCCGGAGGCTATGTATGCTCTGTGTAGCTTTATAGCAGGATGTATGTGCCCGGAGGCCAGATATGTGCAGTACTATGTAGGGGGAACCGTGTTCTTGAAGAGATGACAGGCCAAGCTGGACAAAAAAAAAATAAAAAAAAATCCCCCGAAGTCGCAAGCCAGACACAGGAGGACTCTGCCGTATGAGCACAGTCGCAAACGGCACCTATGTGTGATATGCCAGACTGGGGAGATCAACAGAACAACCACAACCAGCAGCGACAAGCAACCCCCACAGAATCGAGAACGGACATACAACACTGTGGACAACCCTTGGATGGTGCGCAAGCAGTGTCTGTAATAGCTTACCTGCGTCAGTGTGTGGTGTGGGAGAGTGTTTGCCTTTACACACTGCTGTTATTTTCTTATTTTTTCTAATAAACTTTATTTTTTCCTGTTTTTCTGGAGGAAATGTCTATCGGGGTTTAACTTTTTTTTTACTTTTTTTTTTCCAGGGTAACTTCAGTAGAGTCATAAAAACGAGTTATAATTTAAAAAAAAAAAAAAAAAAAAAAAAAAAAAAAAAAAAAAAAAAAAAAAAAAAAAAAAAAAAAAAAAAACGAGTTATAATTGCACTACGGGCCAAGAGACATTTTGCAATTGCACTTTGGGCACCCTACCTGGCCAGAAAGCTGGGTTGTATACATTGCCCGAACTGCAATTTGAGACTGTATCGAGGCCCCAAGTGCAATTATAACTCATTTTTGTGACTCACACGTAGTTTCCCCTTTTTCTTTTTTTTTAAATTTCCAATCTATTGGTGGGGAGCAGCACCTGCTGGAAAACGGGTCCAGCGTCGCATTATAGATCACAAAACTGAGTTTGACCTGCCAGCACTGATTGCCCTTGTCACCAGGGGATTGACTGAGCAGGTAGCGGAGTGAATGACAGTTGCCAATAGGAGTTTATTTTAACCAAAGATTGTATTGCCAAACCATCTCTTCAGCCCTGATCAGGCCGCCAGAACCAACGCTCCACCCTAGTGGTCCCACACATCGCTTCCACAAGTGTAATCCAGTTGTTGGCTCTGACTCCGTCTGTAGTCTTCTGTTGCTCCATCTTAGCCAGGATCCTGTGTTCCTCTGCGGGGGCGAGGCCGTGCCCTGGGGCCTGGGGGGCACCGGGGCTCAGGCTTGTTTTCTTTTTTTATCAGAATTTCTGCTAGGGAAAGGGCATGGGTAGGAAAAGAGTCGGGAAAACCTGTGGTCGGACGAAGTGGAAAAGAGGGTTCAATGTTAGTCCAGTCCCTGAACACCAAACGGTAGTCCCTTGTACCTTCCAAATTCTGATCATCAGTCGGCTTGTCCCCAGACTCCCCACTCCTATGAATCCCCCGCGGCCGCGAGGCCGCGGTCATGACCGCGACGACTGCGGTCTGCCGCGGCCCACAGCGGCCGAGGGGGTTGGGGGTCGGGGTTGCGGATTGGGGTTCCGGAACCCTGACTCTACCCCCTTGAAAAAAAAACAAAAAAAAAAATCATTTTCGGGGGGGTCGTTTTTGGTGTGTGGAAATTCTTTTTGAACAAAATAGGAAAAAAAAATTGATTGATTGATAGATTGATTGATTGATTGATTGATTGATTGATTGGTTGATTGATTGATTGATTGATTGGTTGATTGATTGATTGATTGATTGATTGATTGATTGATTGATTGATTGGTGGGGGAGGTCCTCCCAACCCTCCCCCCGACACACACACACACAAACACAATCAATTTTTTGTATGTCAGTCTTTCTTCTGTTGTCTGTCCTCCCTCTGATTTTTTCTAAGTTTTTTTTGTGTGCCCAACTGGGCACCCTTAAGTAGTGCCAAACAGTCGGTGGTCCCTCGTTTGGAGTGCCAGCTGCACTCTTAGGGGGGTTGCTTGGTTCGGGGCGTCTGTGTTGCCTGTCGGTGATGACGGATGTTCGGCGGAGTGACTCCCTGGCTCATTGGGTGGTGGGAACCAACAGTCTGCGGTGTTCGCCCGTGATGAGAGTAGGTCATGTGCTGCTTTGCTCCGTGTTGGATGTGTGGGCTGCCTCGTGCTGTCTGCGCTTCACCGTTGCCTTGCTGCATATCCCGCTTGGGTCACGTGTTGTTCGTTGTGTGCTGTTACGTTCGCTGTGCAGTCTGGTTGTGGTAGTCTACTAGTCGTGTTGCCTTGTGCTTCGCCGCGCTGCTTCCAAGCTGTCCATTCATGTGTCGTGCCTTTTGGGTTCCTTGCTTGTGGGTCGTGTAGTGTGGTCGTCTTGTGTATGTTGCCTTGTGCTTCATTCAAGTAACACGGGCGCTGTGCTGTGCCTCCACTTGCGGTGTTGTTCCTTGCAGCCGCCGGTGTCGTTCTTTAGTTGAGTGACTTCTGGTGCGTTGCCTGGTGCTTCGCAGAGTTGTTTCTTGCTGCCGTCCGCCGTTTGACGTGTCGTTCCTTGCAGTCGTCTTTGGTGTTGTGCGGTTGAGTGGCTTCGGGTGTGTTGCCTGGTGCTTCACACGGGTGCCCCTCGCTGCTATGTTCCGCTTGTGGGCAATCTGCCTTCAACAAGGGTCAAAGGGTTCATGACCCAGAACATCCAAAACCGGTACTCCGCAGATTGTCGAGGGTTCAGCCTCCTGATGAGTCGGTGCAATTCCGACGAAACAATCTATCATCAGTTTTATCTTTTTCAGTCTTTGCTTTGTTTATACTTGTATTTTTTTTTAGGCTGTTTTCTGTGTAAACTTGTACTTTTGCAGGTGTTGTTTTTGCATGGTTGACGTTTGTCTTGCTGTTGTTTCCCTTGCTGCCTTATGATGTATGCTTGCCCATCTGTTTACCCCATGCCTTTCACCCTGTTTGCTTTGTTGTTTTGTGTTGTATGCCTGCCCACCCGCCTCCCCCTTGCCCTTCAACCTTTCGCTGTTGCATGTTGTTCTGTGCCTTGTCGATTCTCTTATGTCGTTCTTTTTCTAGTTGTGATTTTCTTTTGCTTTTCTTTTGTGGTCTTCTGGCCTTACCTTCGGGTCATGGTCCTGTGGCGTTGGTAGGATTGGTGAAACATAGAGGTCGATGTATGCACGTCTGTTGCTTTTGTGTACGGGATGAATGAGCCTTCTCCATACGATGTGGATCACTCAGCCTTATGATGGTATGACTTTTGATCGCATTTTCAAACGCAACTCGCCGCGATTGACGTCGCGGTAGTATTCTGTCTCATACGAAACACACACACGCCCGCGCACACACACACACTATGTTGCACACCCGGCCCCGGCCAGGGGGTCCGAATCGGCCGCGGCCTAGGCCGACCTGCCGAGTTCGGTACATTATTTTTTTTTCCTATTTTTTACGTGTAAAAAAAAAATAAAAAAATATGGGCGTGTAGGGCTGGAAAAGCCCTATACGCCCATATTTGTTTTTTTGGGTGTCCGACCTTCGGCGCGGCGCAGAAAAAATAAAAACAGAAAAAAAAAGAAAAAAAAGAAAAAAAAGGCCCGGTGGGCCATTTTGGCCCTGTTTCGGTGCCACCGAGTGAGGGGCACCGCGTGGGCAGTGGGTAGTGTGGGGAGGGCGGTTGGTCCAGGCCCAGGCCACGACAAAACTATTGCCGTCTGAAACGGCAGCAGTTGTTGCTGTTGCCAACTTGCCGTTATGCTGCCGAAATGCCTGCTTGCCACTGAGAGAGAGAGAGAGAGAGAGAGAGAGAGAGAGAGAGAGAGAGAGAGAGAGAGAGAGAGAGAGAGAGAGAGAGAGAGAG